TGTCTATTTAAAATTCTTTTTAGTATTTATGTGATAGTTTTTGACTTTCTTCAGAACCATGAAAAGTTGAATTTAAATAATTTTGGGGTAAACATTTTGTTACATTCCTCAATGAAGATACTAGATTTCTATGTGATCTGGTCTATCTCAAGAAAAGTAATATGAATACTTATTTTCACAAATCTTGTGAAAGCTACATGCATGACTAAACCTAATATTTGGTTAGAACCAGCATTATGATGGAGAATAAAACAGAATTAGTGTTGTTATATGGGGCTGCTCAGCTCTAGATTAAAATTTATCTTTTCCCCCTTTTTTGTATCCAAACTTCTTGTGTGTGTCCATAAACACTACGAAATATGTACCCCTGATTTAAAAGAGTTTTAATTAAAATATATAATTCACAGTATGCATTATTATTATAGTGATGCTGTGCATGATGGAACTGATACATTTTTTTAGCCATTTATTTCTTATAGGGTACAGAGGCAAATGGATAGTGGATGGATGTCATAAAGCAAGTGTTTTATGTTTCTTTAGAGTTTATGGCATGGCTGGAATGAAATTAAGTATTTTCTTGTCTAGCATAAAAAAAGGAATTGCCTACTGTTAGGTAGGGCTGCAAGATCTGTTTTTGCATTACGGTACATAGTTTCCCCATGCCAGAGACAGCCAATTTCATGTTATTCTTCCCAGGCTATTACCAAGGAACTAGAATGATATGTTGTCATTTTTTTTTTCTATTCACAGTTTAATCTTTTTAGTCCTTCTTCTGAAACTTTTCCCCATGATTAAAAGGAAGCTGATAAATAACCAGTTTCTGTCTAGATAAGTAAGGCATAGTTACATCTTCTGTCTTCAATTTGCTGAATTCACACTATTTTATGTGTATGACCATATTTCTTTTCTACTTAATTTCTTTTGAATAATATATTTATCTGAAGTGATACTACACTTGGTCTTAGCCAAAAGGCTGAGAAACGATTATTTGAAAGGAAAACTAGAATTTTCCCTAGGATTATTCCCTAGGATTTTCCCCACCAATAATTTAAAATAGGAGGTTCATCTTTGATTAAGAATATAGTACATTTTTTGGTTTAATTCTCCTTAAACAAAACAATTTTCTCCTATTTGCCTTTAGAATTCTGGACTATTCTAGACAAAGTCCAAAAGGTGAAAAGTAGAGCTTGTTGTATGAACACCACAGCTCATTGATAAACAAGAGAAGAGCAGCATATGAGCTGGAGGCTGCACATAGCCCAGAGCCACCAGAAATTTCACCCCTGAATTTCAGCAGATAACCAAAGAGAAGCAGGTAGAAAAAAAGATTATAAGGTGTTTATGCCTTCCTTAACACCAGAAGTAAAGCCAAAACAAAACAAAGGTCCAGCAACCTCCCCTCCTACAAATCCCACCCTTGTCCACTTTGGTGACCTAATTGCTTCACTAATCAATTTCTGTAGACCTAAATTATAACATTTTTGAAAGAAACAAGGCCACCAGAAGTTCTCTCCCCATCCTGCATTCAAGCCATATAGCAACCAGTTTTGAAGCTATTCCACAATGCAAGTGGCAGTCTCCTTTTGGGAATTCCTGATCTTTTTCTAGCTTTCAGCCTTACAGTCCTTCAGCATGTTGAAGAGATGGTTGTTTGGTGATTGGTGATTTCCCTGCTGTGGGGATAGAACCAGTTATATGTGTCATCAGGACTATTGGCTCATGAAGTGTACTGTCTTTGGGGAGAGCATGGATTGGAGCTATGCAAAAGGATGGCAAAGACTCGCCAAGCTCTCCAATCAGGGTTCCTTATGGCTTCTCCACTTGTGATGAATAACAGTTCAACACAGCTTTATTCACATCACATTGGACTATGAAACTTTAGGAGACCACTGAAGAACTTTGGGGTTCGAGTGGTGTTACCATCACCATTCTCAGAGCATTGGAATCCTCAAGCCTTTCTTTGATGAGTGGCATCTGCATCGGCCTATGACACTGTGGGACTTCTGTAGGACTTAGAAAATGGAACAGATTAATGTTTAGGTCAGTTCCTGTTCCAGAAGAAATACCGCAAGGGTCGTTTTGTGGCATTATCTCTGGAGCTCTGGATAACAACTTCCTGTTGGCAGACTCTCCCTTTTTGCCCTAGCTCCTGGGATTTCCACTTCTTTCCTCTCTGTTCTTCAGAAAAGCTTGGAGGGGCTGCTTCATCTGCTGTGGAATAAAATGTGGCAAGGAAACAATCACTGTTGGGGTGAGACATTGCCTGGAGTGCTAGTTTTCTTGTTCCCCCATTATGCAGCTGATGGCCATTCTTTCTTTCCTTTCCTAATTCACAAGCTCCAGGTAGCAACCATGGTGACTCTCACACAGCAGCATAATGATACTGCAGGGAAGATCTGTGACATAAAACACTTTCTAACTCTGAAGAGCATTTGCATCATCTCTACCATAGGCATTCTTCACCTTCTTCATGGAGGGGTTGTTTTTCCATTATTGATCTCAAAGATGTATATTTTCATATCTTGATCTGGTCCAAGTATGTTTTGTATTTCACTCCCAGTTTCAACTTCTGCCCTTTTTGTGTTCATGAAATGTTTATCAGATTGTGCCTTTGAAACCACATGTTATAAGATTATTCTAATAAGGTCAGTACAGCAAAATTCCCTAGCAAGACATCCTAAGTGAGCATAGCCTTAGTAGATTACTTCTTACAAACATTTCTTAATTAGTTGTAATAAGATGGAAATAAAAATAGATTTATGAAGGCTGAATTCACATTAATAAAATATCCAAGAATGTTTAAAAAATTGCTGGTCATGTGCAAATTTCAGTTGTGGGTTAGTATAGTTATATTGTTCTTACATTGATCAAGTGTAAGCTGTACAGCTATTAAAAATGAGGATCATAATTTTTGTATATATTTTATCAGGTCTGGACACATGTAGTACATTTCTCTTCTTCCAACATGCACAGCCTTGTTTAGCCCTTTTCCTAATTGGGGAGAAGGGATTTTATTTTCTAGGAGACCAGTTATAAACTATTTAAAAGACTGCTAGATAAGATGGATGATATTGGGCTTTTCAGTAGAGGTGGCAGGAATAATGGCTTAAAAAGTAAAGACGCCAACATGAACATAGAGATATAAACTCATGTTAATAATATACTGTTTTTTATTGTTATTATTTCTCAGAGGGGGATTTTATCATAGCAGTTGATGTGGTTGAACTAGGCTACAACCCTATGCATACTTACTTGAGAAAAAAGTCTTTGAAATAAATGAGATTTAATTCTGATTAAATGTGCATAGGTTGCATTCTAAGTATTAATATCTAACCATGGAAGAATTGTGAATTGGAATAGCATTGTTGTCTAGTATTTAATACACAGACTGAAATTGTAGAATTGGCAGATTCTACACTTAATTGACAAATTAAATGTGGTAGTTTCTATTAAGGCTAGTTTTCACATGAAAATAGTAAATGAGGGACGATGCTATTTCCTGGTGGGAAAAGAACCCACAATATGGCCAATTTTTCCATTTATTAAGTTTTGCATATTGTATACACTGCCAAATGCATGACCTTATAAATTGTTTTGTTGTTTTTAAGATACACTGTAATCTAAAGGTCATTAGAACATGAGGTTAACTGTACTGTATAATTGTAAACCTATAGAAAAATGCAAGTTTGGACATTATTTTTAAGCGCTCTTCATACATCATTAAAAGCATTATGTAATGTGAACACACAGCAAAGGCGTGCTTTTCAAACCTTCATTTTCATCAAGTCCACAGGGAGAGCCGTTTTAGTCTCTTTTAGTAAAAGCAATGTTCTGTGGTGCCTTTAAGGTGAAAAAAAGATGCACTGTGGCTTAAGATTTTGTAGACAAGATGCAAGAAATATCCTGAGTTGTAACACGAGAACAGAAGAAAAAGAACTGACAGTAGGGCAAGTGTGAAAGGTAGCAAATCTGTGGAGGTGAAATAGTCACCTACTCCCAAAAGCAGCAATTGTGGTAATTAAAGTCTTCGGATAGTTATATCAGATCTGCCGATCCTGCATAGCCTGAGTCATCGTATTAATAATATTCAGCCACCGTGATTCCTGACACGGTACATATCTGGAGATATACAGTATGCCATATACAAAAGCCAAGGCAAATATTGTTATAACGCAGCTATAACTGTACACTGCATGTTTAAAATAGTTGTATAGCACAAAAGTGAATTTTAAAGTTTGTGCTTTTGGCAATCAACTATACTTTACTAGCAAAGCAAGCACTAGCAACAAAAGCAGTACAGTCTTTTTCATTTGAGCATGCAGTGGAAGAACTAAAGGCTTTTATTACGTTCCGTGAAGTTAGGGAATTTGTGAAATCCTGTCCCATGTTTTACTGCATGATAAGGTGAGGGTGGAGCAGTGCACACGCACAGTGTCAAGACTAAATGCATGAATCCCTTGCTTGATGCCCCACATAAGCCAGATTATGGGGAAGTTGCATCCAATTTTTGTGTTGCCTTGTAATGCCTTGCTGTTTATTTATATAGCATATTTATATAGGACAAGAGAATGGACGTTTATGCTAAAAGCTTCTTCTGTGCTAATGACGTCAACACAACTTCAGTAATGCAATTAACACCTCTAGGTGTCCATTCTTCTTCAAAAGCCATTTCTGTATGGAGATAGAAAGTCTGTGTTGCACATTGCAGTTATGGGCTGACACAAAAGACGCCGTATATTACAATCTGTTGGATATGTCAGCAGAGTTTTTCTCTATGAAGTGTCCTTGATATCATACAAAATGGGATGCAGGATTAAAATGCAGTTTCATTTAAGAATTGCTCTCAGAATTTTGCTTTACAATATTTTAAAAAGCTTTTTAAAGATTACATCTGGGGAGTCTGAATGTGAGCCCATACTATAATGTGATATTTATGACTTGGGTTTCCCATATGCCTCACTAGTCTATTTCTTGTCTCCTGTCTCTCCTTTAATTGGAAGAAATGTAAAAAAGAGAAGATATGATCCAAGTCAACAAGGCATCTAAGGAATCCCCTGGAAGGATGTTGCTGTGCTTGACTGGACCCTGGCTATGGAGGCTCTTTGAAGTAGCTGCCTCTTCCCACAGAAGCGTACCAGTCATTGGCTCCAAGTTGCAAGCGGAGGCGTTTATGAAAGGGCTGAAGGAAAACTGTCCTTTCTTGGAGATTTAAATTCAAGAACTCCCTCCATTCATTTCTCTCTCTTTTTGGGGATGTTAGGGACAAGGCAACCTTTGGGAAGGAACGATTTCGCCTGTTTTTTGTTTTAAACAAAAATGGAGCAAAGAAAGCGCAATAAGAGAACTGTTTCAAAATACTCAAATAGGTAAAGCATTTCTTAATCATTTGAGTTCGCATGACATTTTAATATTAATGGCAGACTCCAGTGGCATGATAATTTCTGAAATGGTGAACTGCATGGCATAAATACAGCAAATGAGCTAGCGAGAGGGTCCCAGATAAAATCTACTTACCAAGAACAGGATAAAAACAAAACACGGAAGAGCCGGTCCTAGGTTTTACCTATGAAACATGATAATTTCTAAATTCCGCCTGATACAGGTATTCCTCTTTATTTTTATTTTGCTTTGAGGCAAACTCTTTGAGGAATGGCAGGTCATACCACATTGATCTATTTTAAAAAGGTTTTGGGGGAAGTCATATCATACTCCATTATTACACATTTTAAAAATGTTTTCTTCCATATGTGATCTTAAGATGTACATCTTCTTAAAATGCTGCTCCTATTTAATTTTTTGGTAGCACATTATATTTTAGAGGTTTATGGCTTGCTCTAAAAAGGGAAATCTGACAAATAAGAGGTGTGCTTTTTAAATGTGTATGCTTGAAACCAAAAAAAAAAAAGTCCATCTAAAACCAATATGTGTAAATGCGTATGTATACAATGATTTTTCCTCTTCAAATGCATTATTTGCAGTCATGCAGATATTTTGTATATATTGTAAGAAGCTGACACCCTCTCAAATTAATCACAGAAGTGCCAAGCTTATATCTTCTTCATTTTGCCATCTTGTTTTCCTTTCTCAGTCTCATATTGTATGAAAGGAAAGAAGCCTAAATAAGCCTTAAGTACTTGTAAAATACTGAGAGCTTTTAACAGGTTAAGGCTTTCCTGTGTATCGTTTTATAAAGCCTGGTATCACCTCACCCTCAGGACCCCTTTCTGTTTTTAAAAGTGTATAAACATGATTCAGATATCTCTGTCTTTCTGAATTTATTTCTGTAGTAGTTGCTTTTAACGTTACTTCTTACTAGGCTACATGTGGTTACTGTCATGGAGGTTTGAATTAGAAAAAATGGTAAGAATATTGCCATGCGTATATCCAGATAGCGTTGAATCATGCTTAAACAGGAAAGTGGCATTCATTAAACGTTAATTTAGCCTCTTCCCTTCTCCTCCCAAGCATCTGTGCTCTGCCATAATCAGGCCTTCCCATCACTTCTCTAATTGGTAAATGCGAAGAGTGGTAATGGCAAATTCCACCAACTAACAAAGTGTACTGAAAATAAAGCTTGCTTGTATGGATGCACCTCTGCTGGCCAACCGCACGTTAATGTTATGCCAGTGTACAAGCTGGCATCCCACTCCGTTTTTGCTAGCGGTGCTGCTGCTGCTGCTGCTGCAGTTGCTGCAGTTGCTGCAGTTGCTGCAGTTGCTGCTGCAGTTGTGCTTGTGGGTTTTCTACACCTGTTATGGTGGGAAGCAGTGCCAATGCTAATTAAGCAGTCGTGGTCATTAAAGCAGTGATTTTTTGAGGTCACAAACATGGTTATCCTTCATTACAGTTGCTATGACATCAGATCAGTGTAAACTCAACCTGCAATCACATCCCAAACTCCAAATGCTTGATCATTCATTGCAGTGGGAGACTGCTTTGAAATAGGCTTTAGGTGTATATCGAAAAAGCAACTTATTTAAAAGCTTTTGTTCTGGTCACAAGTATCTTGGCATGATCTATTTATAATTCAGTTAAACCTATAGAGATCACTTTGATCTGTATTTATATAAATGTTTTATTCTTTTAAGATGTATTAGCATTAAAAAAAGCAGAATCTGATACCTTTAAAGTTATGTTTGAATCTGTTTTTAGATTTCTCTGTGTCAGTTAATACAATACCAATGTTTTGGGATGCCTTTCTTCAAGCTTTATTAACAATTGTGTGAAATCATAGCGCTTTGGCATAACAATCATTTAATTACATTTGAGTTAACTTAGGAGTGGGCAGCTTGTGGCCTCTGGGCCAACTGTAGCACCTGAATCTGTCTGTCTGTCCGTCCTTGTTTGTTTGTTTGTTTGTTTATTTATTTAGACCCAGAACTCTTAGATATTGTGCTATTGAAATTCATTGGAAATTAGAGACATGGTTTCTCTTTCTTTCTTTTTAATGGGAAATGTAAGAAATAAGGAGCGTAATTGTCATACCATATCTAAATAAGAAAAATACCCTTCCTGAACTTCCAGCTCCCATTACTAATCTGACCTATAAGTGCTGATAGCACAGCCTCTAGCCACAGAAATATTATGCACTTCTCATTTAGCAGGTTGCTGTTTTTACATAATCACCGCAAAGTTACTGTCCTACAATGAATGAAGAAGCAACGGGAAGCCTGGAATTCAGTTACTGATACTTAAGGCTAATACTCTACAAAGGCAGCAATGAATTTTAACTTCCTGACCTGAAAAACAAACTGGAATAGATTCTATATGTGATGTGCTCCTTTTCAGGTCTTCTCTTTTGCAATATGAAATGGCCCTGTAGAACATTTTATGTAATGTCACTTTGCTTTTAAGTATACTGGAGATTAAAATATCTAAATGGGTGCTAAGTTTGGGTTCTGCTTTGGGAGCAGTGGTAACCACAGTAGACAGTGCCATTCAGTATGGTTACAAAGGTCAGATTGTTGTACTAAGTAAAATATTTATGTAATTCACAAAACATTGTAATGTGCGATGTGATTTTTTTTTTAAATCAGACCACACTGGTCCCCAATTATGTACATAAGATAAAGAGTTGGGGTAACTTTTTGTTACACTGACAGTTTCATAAGAAATATAATTTCTTTTCTAAATTTCTCCTCTGCTGTTCTGTTCTGTATAGATATGTTTAAATACACAGACTATGTATAGACTATAAATGACCACACAACCACATAGCTCACAGAAATGGATTATCATGTTTTCGGTGGTCCTAGCATTACATCACCAAACCTGCTAAGGTCTATACTTATTTTATAAGCATTCATTTACAATATTTTGTAGAGAACATAAGCAACTTACTTTTTTTTAAAACACAGTATCATTAAAATGGTGTTCAACACAATAAAAAAATTCATTTCAGCCGCTATATTTTTGTTCCATTGATAGGATTCAACTCGACAGGAAAATGTATGGAAATTTTATATCGCTTATGTTGATATGCTGCATGATCCCACTGAATTCAGCAAATTCTCAGAGAGGAAAGCTCCACTACGCAAATTAACAAAAATATATTCTAGGTGCATGTTAAAATAAATTACATAGAACTGGGGTTGTACAACATTTTCTTTACTATGCAATGATAGGTATTGCACAAACTTAAAATTCAAAGACAAATGTCTGAGGAACTTTACAAAATACTTGAATTATTTTTGATCTAAAAAGCTATCAGTCGTTTTATATTCATTGTTGCTTTCATTATTAATATTCATCTAAAATAGTAATTATTTTTAAGGTGCACAATTTAACAAACTTATTTTGTCTGAAGCTAATATTCATATTCTGTTGGCTGCAGATGAATGGGAATTCAGTTACTGTTTTGCATCTTAGTAAATTAGTATTAAAGACATCATAAACATGGAAATCTGCTTCTGTATTTTTCTTTCCTGTGCTGTCATTAGATTAAATTCCACATCAGACCTAATTTTCAAGAAAAGGAAGGTTGTTTGGTATTTTTCATAGAAAATTGGAAAAACAGTTTTCAAGTTCACTTGAGTTACAGTCATTTGTCTCTCCTGTTAGCAAAAGTGTAATGTTGGATGTGTTTGTGATTTAAAAAACCATTGTGAATGTGCGGTTCAACATACATTGACCTAAAGAACCATTTCACATCAAATGAACATCACTGATCTCCTATGGATTAATAACATCTTTTGGGAGAGTCTGAGGAATCACGATGATTCAGCCCTTACAGAAAAGGGCTAGATTGTAATCCTATGCTCAATTAACCTGAAGTAAGCCCTTAAATAAATTGAAGTATGTTTTTGAAAAACAGAAAAGGCCCATCTGTTCTGGTAAAGATGGAGTCATTTATTTGACTCTCTGCTTGACGGCATTATGTACAAAGTTGGGTGCATAGATTGCTGCGGTAGCTAATTCTCAGAGCTAATGCATTGTGGCAGCATCCTCAGCATTGTTACACTGACACAAAAAAGCCACATCACCATTCTGATCACGGTCACTGATAGGAGATGCAGGGTGAAGGCTTTCGGTGAAACAAATGGAGAGAGTTGATGATGATGGCCAAAGTAGGAAAGAAGCTGATCTGATGAATGAAGTGAAAAGCCTTCTAATCATGGTGGAATCAGTTACATGGTTACATTGCAAGACTCTATTAGATACTTGTCTCCAGTAGCTACAAGCATACTCTCACAAGTTATTGTCAGAATCCTCGCAATCAGTCACTTGCGCTGCAAGTTCACTTGCTTCGTTTCTGCCATTACAGTGAAGGGGAGGAAGGGAGGGAAGGATGGAGGGTTAACCGTTAGGCACCGATGGACTATTATCTGGGTCTCAGGAATGCCCAAGGTCACATCAACGTGAGAACCGGAGAGAATCTTCGACATGCTCAAGAGAGATTCAAAGACAGAAGGGGGGGGTGAAATGGGAGTGAGGTAAAACTAAGTTTTGGTGCGTGCAGGACTCAGTTCCAGCTATGCTTCTAGAGCTGTTCACTACTTTCCAATAAATGAACTTTCCTTTGAACCTGCATTGGTTTCAATGAGAGTTGCTTCATTGGGAACTGAGTACTGCGGTTCTTACATTATTCACTCAGCACTTTTACAAAACTGCACAGCTATATACTTGGCTGCCTGATTTAATGCTTTATTGTGCAATATTTTTTTAAAAAAAATAAATCAGCTTTTTAAAAAGCACAGCCTCCTTCCTGCCAGAAGAATAAAGTACTAATTTCTCCTTTCCCTCATCATGAGGATAGAAAGTTTAAAGATGCTTTTGGAGCATGTAACTTTCCTAATATATTTTACTTCTCCTTTGGGGCTTTAGGCATCTGCCTGTAGTTGCTTGTAATGGGCTTGGTTATGCTCTGCTAAATATGAACATCAGTGAATGAACTGGGGCAATTGAGGGAATAGGTGGCTCAACATTTTTCCTACCAGAGAGATATGGGCCAAGGGAATGAGAAAACTGCCCACATAATTTAATAAGTTGTGAAGGAGAGCATTCAGCATAGATACAGGACAGATATCTCAGGTCCTTGAGAAATGGGAATGTCCTGAATTTTAGCTGTGGTTCTTTAAAATGGAACTGCTTCTCAGAAGCCAAAAAATAAACAGCATCTTGAAAAGTCAGTACCCAGGAGATGAGCAAAGAACTTACCGTTTCCATAATGCACTTTGTCGTGAGGCTCTGTGATAATGTTGAATGTTAGAATGTATCTATGCATACTAATGAGATGCTAAAGATACCACAAAAGCTAGAATTTTAAGGAATGGAGCTGTCTTAATTGGGTGTTCAACAGCCTTCCAGAATGTTTTAGAACATAGCAGAATGCCATGGAAATGAAGGAACTGGAACTTGTCATTTATGCTAAACCCAGTTAGCCACATTCTTACAGTCCAATACATTTGGCTACCAGTAAAAGAGTAAAATAATTCTGTTTGTTCGCCCTCTAATGGATTTCACTGTGGGGTCATTTACTTTCTTTTTCCTCCCTCCAACAAGAATCCACTGAAAGAAGGTGAATCATAACTTTCATGGAGATGCACTAGGAAATTATGTTGTTTATTACTTGAAATGGAGAAGAATAGGAAAAAGCAGAACCCAATGACCTAATGTCATCATTACCTTTCCAGAAATTCTTAACTAGTCTGCCAGCAATAAGGAAGCACACGTTCACCATGCAAATGATATACTTGAAAGGTCCTGGATTTCATTAAAATTAACTGTAAAGTCTCTTTTAAGATCACTCCAAATGGCTAAAATGAGGAAATGTGTCCGAAGGCCATGAACATGATTACTAGTACCTTCGTCATTATGCTATTTCCAGGGAACTTCTGAAGATGAGGCCAGTCTCATTTATACACAAAAGTTCTATAATCATGACTATTATGTTTTTGATCAAGACAGGTCATGATTGCATATGCACCATGACTAATCAGAGATTCTGAAGTGAGGCAAGAGTGTATCATTTATATATTACATTCCTAAGGAAAGCAACTTTACTTCAATTTGGTAACATTCCAGGTGCCTCAAAATGTTCTACTGCAGTGTTTCTCAACCTTAGGAACTTTGAGATGTGTGGATTTCAACTCCCAGAACTTTGAGATGTGTGGACTTTGAGGTGTGTGGACTTCAACTCCCAGAATTCTGGGAACTGAAGTCCACACATCTTAAAGTTGCCAAGGTTGAGAAACACTGTTCTACTGTATCCCCACTCTACTTGAAAGTCAAATAGAAAAACCTGAATACCTTTCTCATGTTGCATGAAAACACAATGCTTTCAGGATACACTAAGCTAAGAAGAACACATGCTTCCATTTTAACTTCCACTCTTGCACATTTTTGGGGTCTTAGAATTGTCATGCCATTGTGCCTTATGGACCCAGTTAGGTTTCAGAGGGAGTTTAGGGAATTCCCTGAGGCTCTGCTCCACAATTCAACTGAGGCTTTAGTCACTCTTTGTAATTGGAGGATGATAAAGGCCTTGAATTGGACTGTGGCTTTGCAGGTGCCTCCCCCCCCCCCCCCAGTTTTCATAAGTGCTGTGGAGTGAAAAGGACAGAAGAGACACCCAAAGTGCTGCTTAAGAAAGACAAGAAAGTCCAGTTGAAAATGTGGAAGAAACTAAATTAGAAGCTCTCCAGTCCAGGTTTTTAAGAGCTATTCTTGTAGTTCTGAGATGTATCAAGTATGTTGCCTTGTGGCTAGAGACAAGTTTGGTTTCTGTGGTACTACGTCATTAATTTCTGGTTATTTTTTTTTCCTATGAATCTGGCCCCACTGGTTCTCAGAGACCATTTTAAATCAACTTGGCTAAAAAGAGCTAACTCTGGTCTTCAGATCTCTCTTTGGAGAGTCTCTGTCCATTAGGGTTTCAGAAGTCAACTTAAGCAGTGTGTCTGGAATATTGCCCCTTCATGGATCACTGCCTTGTCGTGGCGAAGGGGCTTGCGTAACTCAGTGAAGC